TTTGTTAGTATACATAACATTACATATATAAATATATATATCTATGCAAACCATTTCAGTACTGTTTGATAATTCAAAAAAGCCCCATAATAAAAGCTGTATACACTATTTCATAATGACCAAATATATATGTGTGTGTGTGTGTGTGTGTGTGTGTGTATAGATGGTATATCTTTCTCCAAGTAAGCATCTCCTCAGCTCCCAACGTAGGCAGCACGAGCCTTAACCAAACGAAACCCACCGTCAAACTAACGCCACCTCTCTTGCTCTAGTTCCTTCTATTTATCCCTCTTAAAAAAGAAGAAAAAAACAAGCAAGAAAAGCCAAGAAGAACTCTGAAACAGCAGACCTCAGACCTGGCGACCAAGTAAATGAACCAGCAAAGAGGCTGCAGCGGCTTCAAGAAGTTCTTCGGGTCATGGATGGACCAACTTCACCAGCTAGTCCATCAACTCCAGTCCTCCACGGCCCTTAACGATCCGAACACCCAACAACGCCTCGTTCACTCCGTCATGTCCCACTTCGCCGAGTATTATCGGGTCAAGGCGGCTTCTGCTGATGTCGACGTTCTCAATCTCTTTGCCGCACCATGGGCCTCCACACTCGAACGCTCCCTCCATTGGATTGCCGGCTGGAGACCCACAACTGCTTTCCACCTCATCTACACTGAGTCCAGCATTCTCTTTGAGGCTCATATCATGGATATCCTTCGCGGCGTCAAAACCGGCGATCTCGGCGACCTTTCCCCGGCCCAGTTCAGGTGAAGATTGACTTTTTCAACACATTTCATGCATGTTATGTTTAAACAACTAAATTTATGAAGAACCAATGTAATGATTGGAACCTACCTGTAATCTTTCATGCGGACTGTGTTTTCTTGCCTTAAAAAGATTGTTTTTTTTGGTGTGACAATCGTTGATGTCATATATTACTGATCAATCTATGAGTTTTTACTAAAAAAATAAATTTTGAAAGAAAAAATGTGAGGTGTTGTTCTGTTTTTGGGGGTTCATTTGTTCAACACATTTCATTCATCTTATGTTTAAACAACTAAATTTCAAAGAACACATGTAATGATAGGAACCTTCCTGCATATATTACTCATCAATTTATGAACTTGTACTAAAAATATTAAATTTTAAAAGAAAATTGTGAGATTTTGTTGGGTTTTGGGGGGGTTTCTGGTGCAGGAGAGTGAGCGAGCTGCAATGCGAGACGGTGAAGGAAGAGAATCGAATAAGCAATGAGTTGGCGGAGTGGCAAGACAGTGCGAGTGACGTGATGAAGTCGGAGACGGATCTGGAAGAGAGAATCCGGCAGCTCGTGAAGGTGGTAAAGAAGGCGGATGATCTACGAATCAAAATATTGGTGCAATTGGTGGATCTGTTGAACCCACAGCAGGCAGTGGAGTTTATGGTGGCGGCCGCCGAGTTGCAGTTCGGAGTCCGTGCATGGGGAGAGTATCAGGACCGTCAACGTGGCAGTCTATGATTTTAGTGGGATCAGAACCGTCCGTTAATCGGGTTTTTTATTTGGGTTGGTTAGGTTTTTCTTTTCAAAAAATAATAATAAGCGACTTGGTAGTTTGTCTTTGTTTCCTGTTTTGATAATGGTAGGAGAATTTTTTTTTTCTTTTTCTTTTTTTTTTTTTTTCGCTGGGAAAGAATGGGAGTATTATTAGTCGTTGGCTACTCGATTAATTATAGTAATTTTATTTTAAAAAATTAACCTTCGCTTGTTAAGTTGTTTTGAAAAAAATATTAAAAATTAATTAGCTTAATCATGTATCTAACCAGGATCTAAATCCTCAATAAATACCTAACTAAGTTCGTTAATTAGATGAGCGTTTGAAAATAAGTTTTGTTTCTTTTGAAATATATCTGAAAATTTCTTTAAAGAAATTAAAACATATTCTTTTAATTGCAATATTTGAAATTATTTAAAGAAATCTATTACATGTTTACATAATAAAAAAAAAAAAAAAAAAGACATTTTTCTTATGGATTTCTAAAGAAAAATTTGTTGGTTGAAGATGCTTGAGGTATGCATATATATAGGAAGATTCTTGTTTAAAATAAAAATTTGGTCCTCTACTTTAATAATCTCTGCATATTATTACTTTAACTCAGATTTTGGTAGTTGTTAAAAGTTTTTTAATTTATAATTTGTTTATATCCATGTTGTCATTGAGACAAATGGGTATATACATGGAGAATTGATTGTGTTATAGGGACTACCGTGAATTGAGTGTACTGGTCATATATGATGACACATTGTTTCTCTATTCATTTGGGTACTCGAGTCCTTTTTAGGTATCCTTTGGGCTTGAAATAGGTTTCCACAAAATCCCTATGCATGTTACAGTTGTAGCATAAAGGCATGTTAGGGTTTGCTTTAAGACTTTCTTTCTCTAAAGAATGAATGACTTTGTCATTTTATAATGGAGCAGGAAATATTTTTCACGAGTTGAGGGAGGTCTTTTGTTTGTCTTGTTTGTTTCTTTAATAGTAAAAGATGTGTTTCTATTGATTGAGATTTACCTACATTTTTCTTTTTGGTGTACACTTTTTATTCAAATTAGACAAAGTTTTATCGACTTACTCAAACCCATCAATGAACTTCATTACCATTCTACTATGGCTTTCAACCCTCAACAAGTGGATTTTAAAATTTGATTCCTAGTTCATTAACTTATCAAATAAAAAAGTTTTGGTTTTACATGAGATTTGTTATGACTTAGTAAATCTTTGTAACTTCATTTATAATTTGATGTATTGTGTTTGCATACAACATGCTGGCATTTAGTGTTAACGTTTGTCTGTCAAAGTGATAATGATGTCATAAATAGATTTGTCTCTTTTTTTTTTTCTTTTTTTTTTTTTTAAACTTTCCATCTATATTATTATTATTATACATCATTTAATTGGTCAGTTTAATTCAATTTTTTATGTATTTAAATTTCAAAATATTGAAATCACAATGATAAATATTTCTTATTGAAATGTCAAATATGCATTGACATGCAAGGCGACACTTGTGTGTTAGGTGTCGTTCCCTTAAGGCGGTCAGTTCATAAAAGAGATATGCTTGGCAGACGTACGTTGACCAAGAAAGTATCTTAACATGCAATTCTTAAAATAGTATATATATATACAAATATACGGTGAAGTCGATCATGTGAAGCTTCGCGATTGTAACCGAGTTAATCAATTTTGCAGCTTTTGTTTTTATTTTTTATTTTTTTTACTTGGGCGTGCATAACGATAAAAGTAAGCAATAGTAGAAAAAATTCCATTTATATCTTCAACTGTTTCTAAGATTATCCAAAATATTATTGACCCAAACATTATCTTTTTTATTTTTTCTTATATATATATATTTAATGAATCGATGAAAAATCTCTGCTTTAGACAAACGATGCTTTCAAGTTTCACCCTGAAAAATTCGTTTCCTCTCATTTCTTCTAATAATTCTGACTCTGGGTAGCACAGAACAGAGAGAGAGAGAGAGACGAGGCCAGTGCAGATGGTTGACCAATGCCCGATTTCGGCGATGACGTTGACGGAGTTGACATCTCCGGCGATGGCGTCCGCCGACTTCTTCAACGATCTCCGATCCTGATACCACTACTGGTGCTTTATTCTTCTCTTCTTAGGGTTTGCTTTTTCTTTCTTCTTAATATTTTGTTTGACGCAGGATTTTTTCTTTCATATTTTAATATTTGAAATTCAAAATAACTCAAGACGCTAATTTTTTTTTGTAAATTTTTGTATGGTAATATTTAATAAAATGTATGATAAATATAATAATAATATTTTCTATTAGTGACAATAAATAACTAATATTATTATTATTATTATTATTATTTTTTTTTAAAAAATGATGTATTGTGAATTTACAGTGTAAATATTTTATGAATTTTATAAAATTATTTACATTTTATTTTAGAAAAGAATCAGAAGTAAAATTTTAATCTTAAACTATATAATTTGGATAACTCCGGAATGAAAATATTATGTCGGTTGAATTTAATTATCTATCTTGAAACATGTTGTTTCACTTTATTTTTTATTTTATAATGTTAAAATAAATTTATGAAGAATAATCATAAAATCTTGACTAAAAATGTTGCGATAACCATAACCATCACTATATATATATACATATATGGTGTTTAAAATTTTTAAAAATTAAGAAAAAAAAAAATTTGACATCAAACTCCTTTACAAACAACATCTGCATCTACAAATATCAAATATCAAATATCAAATATAAGTAGAAATGTAGGATATAATATAGCAGTTAAAACTAAATAAAAAGGTAGAGATTTTTATAGATCACTTTTAACTATTAAATATAAATGAGAAATTTTAGTTGAAATTCTTTTACTCACAAACACACCGTAATGATATATGCTTTTTTGTAAATTTAATTAATTGGACCTAAATGTTGGTTGCTCCAACAATATTTTTTCTTCCATTTTAAAAAAAAAAATATAAATACATAATTACAAGATATATGTAATTTTTTATTTAATATTATGAATTAATGTTAGTTCATATTTAAATTTGTTGTTGGTGAAGAATTATAATCAAAATTGATTAATAATGAGTGGTATAGAAGTTTGATTTGATTTGATTTTCTGGGTTCGTACTTTTTAAGTCTTTTATTATTATTATTATTTTATAAATTAACATCCACAAATAAATAAAAGAAATAACTTTATTATTAATGGAATTTTCAATTATAAATAATTTTTCTAGATAAAAAAAAATTAAAAATAAATAAAATAAAAAAGAACAGACACAAGGGCAAATCTGTAAATTAACAAGAAGTACAGTTGGGAGTTCGTATAAACACCCTATGCACAGTTTCTGCGCTCTTCATATTTTTAGACCCGGAAGCAGTCAAAGAAAAATGTTGACCGCACTATTCTCCACAAACTGCTAAAGTTACATTGGTGTGTGACCATCACTGCCTTTCGTTATCCGCCACGTGTACAGACTTCCGTTTCAGTGCTGGACAGTGTTTATTTTTTTCCATCACAGGCGGGTCAGGTTATCACCAATCATATTCAATTTTGTACCTTTTGGGTTTGGTTCCGTCTCCAACAAATTTCCTGCCCTTCTGATTCAATAGTTTTTTTTTCTCTCTCTGCGAAAACAAACTCTTCCCTGTCATTCTCTCTCCAAAAAGAGAAAAAGAGGAAAACCCTCCCAATGCCTCTGGGGAAATCCTTTCTGTCTCGCAAGATCTCGAGATCGTTGAGGGAACCGAAGAGAGCTGCCATGCCGGCGCGGCTCGGCCTCGACTCGGGGGAGTCGTCGCCGTCGTCCGAGTCGGACCAAGTCGAAGGCAGCTCGTGGTCCTCCATGCTCCCGGAGTTGCTTGGTGAGATCATCCAGCGAGTCGAGGCGAGCGAGGATCGGTGGCCTCAGCGCCAAAGCGTTGTTGCTTGCGCCTGCGTGTGCAAAAAATGGAGAGAGATCACTAAAGAGATGGTTAGGTCTCCCGTTAACAGTGGCAAAATAACTTTTCCCTCGTGCCTTAAGCTGGTAAATTTTTGTTTTTCCTTTTATACTACTGTTTCTAATATTCTTGTTTAGTTTCATGTTGTTAAATGAAATCCCTGCTTTAGGTTTGGATGTTTGGGTTGGAGATTGGTTGAGATTTGAAATTTTTTTGGTTTCATATTTTACTTCTCTTCGGTTTTGGATCTTTTAATTAGGATTTTGAACTTATCTGGCTTGGAAATTATGCGTATTTTGTTTTGGTTTATGAATGTCTGAAGTTAGTGGTCAGCAGGGTCTACAAACTTATTGTATCTTTTAGATAAGATTCCGTCTAATCAATGTATGGTTTTGTTTCAAGAACCAAAATTTGGAAAATTCAATAAATCATGACTTTGTAGAGAGGATTGTTTGAATTGTCTCATAGGAAATTCTCAGGTATTGAAATAGTTGATTGGCCAGATAAAATGTAGGCAAGATGAACACGATTAAGAAATGAAATGCCCGCAACTTTGTGATAATTATGTACAAAACAATTTGGGGAAGCCTTATTTTTTAAGACTTTATTGTCATGTCAGTAGGCAGATTTTATTAGGGTTACAAGAAAATATGTACTCCTTTTGAGTTGCTTTCGACAGAGCATTATAGTAATGTTCTTTTTTTAGATTAATGCAAAATTTTAAGGAAAAGAGAAGTCTTTTCGACTTATTATTACTATCAATTAGAAATCGTCGGAAGTTAGCAATGTTGTAATTATCTTAAATCTCATTCTTCGCATTATCTAATGCAATATGGAAACTGGCAATTAATTTGCTTACCTTTTGTTCATTTGGGTTTATGGTATATATGTTATATATGGTTATAAGATTTGTAGTTAATAATTTTTGCTTATTTCTAATGCAGCCAGGTCCACGCGATTTCCCCAATCAGTGCCTTATAAAGAGGAACAAGAAGACATCAACATTTTATCTGTATCTTTCTCTTTCTCCATGTAAGTGGTTATTCGTAGACTTGTTTCTTTTAGCAAATACAGAAAAACACAATCAGCTTAAATCAGATTCTCTCTCATCCACTTCTTTTGCTGCTATATTAATTTTGGTACTTTGAAACCTGCTATATTAATTTGATACTTTGAAACTTAGGCACTTGTAATAAACAAATTTCAAAACTGAAAGAGACGCTATTCACTTTTTCAAAACTTGTAGATTGACTTTTTTGTCCTGGTTGGGACAAAACTGGGAAAACTTGCTCAGAAACCTAGTGCCATTTGAGTCAACCTTGACTCAGTCGTCAATCTGAAAATTTCTTGACTAGTTATAAAAGAGACTTGTTCCATTAGGGAATTGCACATCAGTATTTACTAGTATGTAATCGTAAAACGAAATTAAAAAAGTACGATAACGTTATGGAGAGGAAGTTTAGATTAGAGATACTATGTGATATAGCTAATTTTGCACTTAAAACAGAAGAAATTTTTTAACTTTTCTAGAGATCTTTCCCTTCTTTGAAGGAGCACTACGCTTTTTGATATTATGGTATATAGTGCATTATTTGAGATAATTTTGTAAGGAAACTTGATTGCAACCCTTATAGGCATCTTTTGGTCATAGATCTAATCAGTAAATTAACGAGTGTATCGACATGAATATCAACTTTGGAGAGCACCTAATACTGGCCATCACGGATGGATTTCCCCTCTCCTACCCTCCATCAACTGCTCTATCATATACTAGGTTTTGCATTCATTTACAGTGCCTTTTTTTCTGCCAACCGTTCAGGAACTTACAGCTTCTGTAGTGCTGGAAGTTATTCTGTATAATAGAATTTTTCAACGTGTTTTCTTTGTGTTTTTGTTTGGTGCATATTATTCTAGGCTCTTCATCTTTTATGGATCCAGACCAGGGAGCAGTCAATTTCTCTCAAACTTGGCTCTGAAGCTGGGTCATTATTCTGTTATGCATTAATTTATAGGTTATTTAAAAAATGCATTAATTTATAGGAGACTGATGGATGCTCAAGGTCAATTTCAATTTTCAAAAATCTTTTCGAACATGAAAGGAAAAGTTTGTTTGTGTGGTTATTATATTTGGAAAAGCAGATAAATACTTTGGAACTGAGACCTTTTAGCATCCGTTCAAAAAATCATTTGGAGCTTTCAGGTATTGTCATTTGTGAATTTGAAAGGATGAACTTCAATGTTGCAATTATGACAAAAATTGTCTATATAGATACATAGTAAAAGTTTTACTTCTTGCTAGTTGTGCTATTTGGTTTTCCTGGATAAAGGATTGAGCATGTAATTTCTCCTAAAGTTTATTTGTTCCAAAATTTCATTTCTGGTATTGGTCCTACTCAAGTTTCGTGCTGTGTGCAGTTTATATCTGCTTCTTTTTGTTCTTTTCCCTAATATGTTCTCTTTTTCTTTCCAGCAATCACTGACAAGGGAAAGTTTCTTCTAGCGGCAAGGAGGTATAGGCATGGTGCTCATATTGAATATATAATATCACTTGATGCTGATGACCTATCACAAGGAAGTAATGCTTATGTTGGCAAGTTAAGGTAATATACATCTTTTGGAGGGGTTCATTTGAGCTCTTTGTTTATTCAGTTCTTTTCATCTCCTGGTATACAGCTTTTATAATACGAATGCATTAGTTTTCAAGCGTTAACCTTGCATTTGCTTCTAGGATAGCATATGTACTAGTCTCTTTACGTGATGTTAAAATTAATTGTGTGTGCTTTCTGGTTGCATTGGTCCTTTTGGGGGTTCTCTGAACATTTAAAGTCATTAACCTGCCACGAGATTAATTTATGTCTCATTTCACCATGGAAATGTTTGCAGTTCGGATTTTCTGGGAACCAATTTTACAATCTATGACAGCCAACCACCTCACAGTGGTGCAAAGCCCTCTAGTAGCCGATCTAGTCGCCGGTTTGCAAGCAAGCAAATTAGTCCCCAAGTTCCAGCAGGCAATTTTGAGATTGGACATGTCTCTTACAAGTTTAACCTTCTAAAATCAAGAGGTCCAAGAAGAATGATTTGCTCGCTTAAATGCCCATTATCGGAAGAAAATGGTAACGAGAAGAATATGAATGTGGATGTTTCCAAGATGAAGAAACTTGACTCTTCTGCTTCTGGTCTTACAATTTTGCGAAACAAAGCTCCAAGGTGGCATGAACATCTGCAGTGCTGGTGCTTGAACTTTCATGGTCGTGTCACTGTTGCCTCAGTAAAAAACTTCCAACTGGTTGCAACAGTAGACCAAAGCCAGCCAGGAGGAAAAGGTGACGAAGAAACAGTTCTGCTTCAGTTTGGGAAGGTGGGAGATGATACGTTCACCATGGACTATAGACAGCCGTTATCAGCCTTCCAGGCATTTGCAATCTGCCTTACCAGCTTTGGCACAAAGTTGGCTTGTGAGTAAACACATTGCTCTTACCTATGCCTGTTACAGTAAAACAAAAAAGTTGAGTGGACGTTTAATATAATTATTTGGTTTTACATCAATTTCTGTAGTTTGAATGGTGCTATTCTGGGGAGGGGAAGAAGAATATGATGTACATGCGTTTATCTTATGAACATGACGTTTGCCGAATTTATTGTTTGTAAACAGATCATGCTGTGAGCGTGGTGTGTTTTAGATCCACATTCAAGTATATATTTTCAATTTGTATATATTTAGCATAAAATGTCTGAGATTTTATTAACCATTTTCTCCCAGAATGCGTGAAATATTTTGACAATAAACAGAGAAGTGACTAGTAGTTAGGTACAGACTCTGTTGACTTAGAACACTTGGCACAGCTGATGAATGAAGCTTTTGTTTCAACGTGGTAGTTGAATATTTTGGATGTAAGAGGCCAAAGTCCATGAATCTGGCATTCATGGGCGGAGTTACCTTAACATCTTTCCCTCATCAACTAGACTGTCTTTCCTAGATGGATTCATTCGTTTAGATTTTTGGTTAACTTTTCTAATCTTGTTAATAACATATTTGGGCTCTTTTTGAACAAATTTTGATAATTATTTACAACTCTATAATGAATTTAAATGTTTTAATCGTATAAAGTTTTTCAACTTCATCATCATCATCTTAAATTTTAGTTCACCTCTTCTCATAATCAAAATTACAAATAAATTTCATAAAATTTCTGGATTTATTCCAATTATAAATATATTTGTCTCATACCAACAACTCAGAGCAAACATTCTTAGGCCCTGCCCAAAGCAGCCGAAAATATAGCAGCAGCATCCCACAAGCGAAAAACAGGACACGTCTGTTTCTAGTGGGACTTGAAGTGGAAGACGCGTGAACGCGGATCAAAATAATAGGTGGCATACAGCACGTACAATTTACTGACGGGATGAACACTGTCTGTTGATTTAGCTGGCAGAAATGGCAGCCGGGTGGGGTTATCTGGTCTGGTACCACGCACTACTGAAAAATGGAATGAATGACTTTTAGCTGATAGATGTGCTGTTGTTGGTAAATAGTAATGGCATTAGGGTTCATGCAACAGTCAATTTTATTAGCGTATACACCGCTTAGGATTTGGGCTAAATGGGATGCCAAATCCTTAATTCTATTTTCAAACTAATTCGTTGACAAAGAAACACTTCCTGCAAAGGAAGTAAAACAATACCTCTCGTTTCACATTGAGGTTTTATTGGCAAGGCTCCATTTTCTCTGCCAACTAAAAGTCACCACAAAGGGTAAAAAAAAAAGCCTAAACCCACAACATTAAAGAGCATTTTACAAGTTGAGTTAAAATTCACCACAAAGACTTCATTCAATAGTCTCAAAGACACATTTCCTTACATGCGAGTCACATTATGGTAGAAAAACGTTCCTGCACACCAACAGCCATATTTTTAAGACTCAAGACACTTTGAAAATAAAAGGTCTGTTTACTTCCTCTGTGCCACCACCAAACTACCTCACTTCTTCCCTCGCAGCTTTGCACCAAGGGCCCTCTCCAGCTTGCTTATTATTTGTTGGTTAGGAATGGCTTTCCCAGATTCATACTCTTGTATAATTTGGGGCTTCTCATTGATCAACTGTTCAAGTGAAAAGAAAGAGGTTACTCCAGAGAGAGCAACTAAAAAAATCATAAGCCTAGCACACGTAGAAAAGTCGCAAGTATATGAATACAAGAGAGACACCTGAGCAAGTTGAGCCTGGGTCAGTTTCTTGTCCATTCGAGCCTGCATGATGGCTTTCTTCAATTCAGTAGGGACACGATCATCTGTCCTCATATGTAAACAACAGACCAAAAATACATGTAAGTAATAAACAAGATAAAAAAGCATTCGCATAAAAAAAGATGTTAAAATTTTGAATTCCCAAGGAAAAACTACATCGAAACTGCAAAAATGAGAAAATAGAAAAATAATATCTTTTTATTGCATCAGATGTGAAAAACACACACAAACACACATGAAAAGGACTAATATATGCTTTGTGGAAAAGCATGAAGCAATGCCCCTAAAGAAGCATGTGCTAGCAGGATAAACAGATATAAATTCATTATGTGAGAAAAGAGAATCAACAGATCATATTATGGATCCTGCCTACCAATATCTAGACAGAAAATTAAAGTAACAACATGATTTCCAGCTAACTTATGCATCCACAACGTAAAAGAAACTGAAGCAAAAACAGTTTTGACCTGAAATATTTTGCCATAGTCCAACACCAATAGCAGGAGAGAAAAATAATCTGAATATTTAAAAAGCAGGATGAAATATTATGGAGAATTTTCAGTAAGCCATTTCCTATTTACACAATGGCTGAATGGAAGTAACCTAAAATTTTTGAGATAACTCAAAGTGAAGCTTATTTAATCACCTTTGGCACAAACAAAGACAGGATTTGAACAAAGCATAGAGGCAAATTATTTAACCGATTTCATATCAAACATATATTCTCCTTGCAAAAATACACAAGAAAAACCAAAATATTATGAAATAATAACCACCCTGTAATAGTGAAAAATGCAAAATCAAATATGAAGAAGATACAACATGGGCTGCTTATGTTCTTTTTGCTAAATATGGAAGCATTAGAACCTCCCACAAATCCATGTCATGATAACATGTTGGCTGCTGGAAGAGAATGAAGAAATCTAGGGCGAGAAGAAGGAATGTTAAGCTTGTTAAGGAATATCAGACTAATGAATTAGTGTCAGCAAAACAACGCATACGGATACCACAAGCATATATATGCTTGCCTCTGTTTCTGCATGCAATTTATGTAGAAATGAAGATGTCCAACTTGTTAGGGAATATCATAACCAATGAAGCACATCAAAGAAAGAAAGAATAAAAATAAACATGTATCTTCATTTTCTTAAGTTACCTCTTTCTCTAAAAGCGTGCATGTGTGGAAAAGAGAGAGGGAGAATGGGGAGAGAGAGAGAGAGGAAAGAAGAGAAAGTCACTTACGAGTAAGATTCTCTGTCTCTTCGTCAAGCTTTCTTGTGTTCAAAGAAGTGCTGGTTGATGCAGCCTTGTTCAGTCCGGCATGTGCTACAAGAGAAAACAAAAAAAAAAAAACATTTAGCACCACAGGATGAAAAATCAAAGATACCATAAAATGTCAAGTCCAACCAAGAGAAAGTAACAACAGAAACTTATTTACCATGTATCACCTAATAAATAAATGCTAGAAATTCACATGCCTTTAGAAGAAAGCTGCATGTGAATTGATATAACTCAGAATCCAGTCTTCTCTTTTTTTGCTTGAGAAGATTATTCGGTTCTATGTTGGATATTCTTCACCATGTAATATGTATATCATATGTGGTTAGAATATAAGCCAATTGACGTGTCTTATTAAAAAACTGATTAAGATGCAGCATGGTTCATTCAGCTGAAAGCCAACACCAAAAGCATACATTTAAATATAAAAGTATTCACTAAGAAGGGCAGGTACCAAAAGATTTAACACGAAACTTCCTATGAAACCAAAAGATTTAACATGGAGGGCCATAGAGCCTGGATCAAGTGAATCCCACATCTTGAGCTATTCTATTATTTACATCCGTAGGAAGGAAAATTTACACACAGGAACCACAATAATCAGATGTATAACCAAATAGAAAAGAAGATATTCATAATTGACAAATAAAGACAAAAAATCCAAAATGACTCACATCCACCCTCTATGCCTTGAATAAAACTATAATCATCATCCAAAAAGTAGCAACAGAAAGTCTACGGTATCACATCATTCGTCTGGCCTTACTATCAAGAGCTAAACCTCAAATTAAATGCCATCTTGTAATCACATAGAATAAAAACCGTTCAGAATTAAAAAAAAAAAAAAAAGAAACCTAAGAATGTGCTTTAAAACTAGAAACCCTAAAACACGAGGAAAAATGCTTATATTAGACTTACTTTGGCTGCAATTTCTTTCAAATAAAGAACGACTTTCTAAAACGACATCGAGCGTCAAAACCTCTACTCCGGTTATTCACTCCTAAAATTTTTAGCTTTTCCTTCTCGCCTATTTATTGATAAATCAAACAGAAAACTGAGGAATTTGATGAAACTGCAATAACGAAGACGACTACTATGACGATTAAAATCTAAACTTCCTCTCTTTAAAAAAGAAAAATTAGAAAAAGAAAAACAAAAAGAAGAATACGAAGAAGAAATTTGAAGATAAGATTACATTTCTTAACAGTCTCGATCTCGGCACCAGCGCGACGAGCAGCGTTGACGACTTTCTCATCCTTCTTAGCAGCGGCGGTCGGAGCCTTCTTCCTTATGACCACCGGTTCCCAGTCCTGTGTCAAGGGGCCGATTCCTGACATTTTCTCGGTTGATTATATCTCCTTCTCTGTGTTTTGATTTGAAATCGATAACGAAGACGACGACGATGATATACTGCGATTAGCGAAAACACGAAAAAGTGGAAGGTAAAGTTTAGCTGCATTTTATAGATGCCTCATGCGGGGCCTGGGAAGGAAAAAAAAATAATTAAAAAAAAAAATCTCTCTCTCTCTCTCTATCCACAATGACTCAGCAACAATAAAATCCCTAGTTCCCTATTATCTCGCTTTTTGATTCTGGGCCTCCTCTCGTAAATTCATGGCCCATTCCCCCAAATTCCCCCTTTCATTTTATTCTTCCCTGCTGCAGTTATTATATAAGCTCGTCCAATATGTTTTTAGGTTATAATTTTGTTTTTAAACATTTTTTTTTTAATTTATTTTAAACTTTTAATTTTCTTTTATTTTTAATACAAAAAATTTAAAATAATTAAATAGTATTTAAAAATAATTTTTCTGATAGAAATTTCAGCTTCTTGCGCCAAAAAATTTTGCAAAATCATACAAGAAAAATTTGCAAAATTTTTTCTCCAAACCAATTGCATACCAAAAGCATCAAAACCAGAATTTCTTTTATATCCAAAATCAGTGAGAATGAGAAACTTCAGGCATTTATCAAATATCATACAGCTATGTTGTCTCAACTCCCCTGATTTAGTGCTGATATAGAAACATTAGGAAACCCAAGAACCAGGAAAACGAAACACAATGTTTGAGATGGACTTGCAAAGAACATATAGATAATGAGAATCTCATACTCTGTAGCTATACTAATGTTAGCATTACACTGGAAAGGAAATAACAAAATGATGATTATAACCATAGCTGTCTATTGCTTTTCCGCTTTGTTTGCTACTTGATCCATAATTACCTCAGAATTTTTCCTTTGTCCATTTGTCAAATCTTCATTCACTTCTTCCTGCATATTAGCAAGCAATTCCAAAACCAAACCGAAGATAAAGTCATCCTTAACTTCTTCGAATTCCATAAAGAACAACAGTGTGAAATCTTCTCACATCTACATTTGTGATCGTACTAGTGGTTGTCTATAGCTGGAGATTGATCCATAGGATAACCTTTTAGCACAATCATAGGAAGACGATCAAAATCCCAACCAACAACTTCACATATCAAATACGCAAAAGCTCTATGAGCCTGTTTCTTCTTTGTCTTTCTTATTGCAAAAGAATGCTGAAGAAGTCCAGAACAATCTTTGAACTTCTTCCATACCTTCTTTCCAATACCACCGCACACCAAACAAAAAAATTCTCCACTTCCTTGATTATTTTGGTAATAACTCCTGAGCTCACTGTTCTCCTTGAAAATTCCCAGAAGGAATTTATACTCTTCACATTCATTATACCCATTTTCATCCATAGAGTCATAGTCCTCCTCTTCTTCATCTGCTTCGTCCTTCTCATCTTCACTGCTGTTGGAACAAGGTTTGGCAAAGAATATTTTGCAAGCTTCCAAGACTTTATGTTGCAACTGTACCACAGCAATTCTTGCTTTTTCCTCAGCAGAGGTCTCACATGTTGCTGAAGCAATTTCGGGCTTTAAGGCAGGCCATCCTAATGTAATTGGGGAGGACTTGTCAGCAGTCTGCATGCATGGCCACTCAGAATCACTAACCCCTGAGGGGCCCAATCCCTGCACCAAATTTCTGTTACCTATGAGAACATGATAAGCTTCTATTGACATGGCCATGATTATCAGTCTAATTGTTATCTTACAGTCTGAGACAACCAAAAGACAGATAAATGATTTGAGAACAAATCTCAACACCTCAAGAAGTTACTAATAACCATCATCAATAAAAAGAATGTTTCAAAAGAAAGATGCACATATAAGTAGAAATGGAAAATGCTAGTTCACATAAAAGATTCTCTCAAAATTCTCCACTTTCTCTTGAACCATTGGTAAAACCTTAATAACTGTTTCGTTTCTCTTGTTACATTTTCCCAACAAGTAAGCAAGTTTTCTTAACTGTGACAAGGTGTCATGAATGCAAAGAACTACAATCTGTACAAATGAATGAAATTCTTTATACACTTCTTTGTTGAGAACACATTTTTCCCCGCAAAATTGGCTAAGGAGAAGCCCATAGTTGGGAAGCAACCTAGTTATTATAGTGTCTTAGCTTCTTCGTTTCTTTTAACAGCTTACTTATCTGTTAAAACAATATCCACCAATATCCTCATGGCTGCAAAAATTACAGGTTTGGTACATTGAGACAAGTTCATCAGCTGAAAGCCGTGAATCAGATGTTCAAAGTCAGTCAAGATAGCCGAATACTTTCTTTCTTTTACCTATGAACATTTACTCTACGTGATGAAACTAAAATCAACAGATGCAAATCTTCAACAATCATCTCATTTTGTCTACAGCCATCTCCTCCCAACAAATAGTTCTACAACAGATGCTGAATTAAATATTACAATGTTTCGCAAACAATCATAAAGTCACAAACATATAATATTTACTTACATTAAAAAAGCCATTTGAATTCAATAACAGCAACCTCTATTTCTCCCATCTCTGCATGATTTCATCATTGACCAAATTTACCATTCTCAGACTCTGAAAATCCTCAATAAAATCTAATCATCCTTAACATTTCTTTGACATTTTTTGTGTGTCTTACTAAAAAAAATCATAACCACACACAGAAGTACTAAAACCAAGTACCTGAGTCTCTTTCAAATCCTCTAAGGAACGACTAAGCGGCTCTCCCTTTGGTACAATCGCAGGTAGTTTATCAATATCCCAAGCAAGAACCTTGCAAACAACCTGCGCGAACGCCCTATGAGCCTTTCTCTTCTTTGTCTTGGATATTGAAGTAGAATGCTGGACAAGGCCCAAACAATCTTTGAACTTTCGGCCAATTCTCTCTCCAATACCACCACAAACCAGGCAAATAAAATCACCAACCTCATGATTACGCTCATAGTAACTCCTCAACTCACTGTTATCCACAAACATGTTTAAGAAGAACTTGAAATCTCCACTCTCCTCAATCCCGTCTTCCTCCACCAAATAATCCTTGTCTCCTTCATCGACATCTACACATTCATCGTCTTCGTCACTGTGAAGTCCGACGCTTTCCCTGAAAAACTCGCGATATTTTGATATCAAATCTATCTGGATTTTCATGGCGGTCAATTTGGCTTGCTCCTTAGCCGAGAGGGATTGGGTCACCCGTTCCGAACATTTCACAGGCTGTGGCCACCCGGATGATGACGGATGAGCAGGTGGTGACTTGACGGGCCACTCTGGACCCGGATCAGGAGAACGATCGGGTCGACCTGGGGAACGACAGTCTTCCAAGTTCCAAAAATTTTGCTTTCTGGGTTTTCGTTTTGCGAAGGGGTTGCCGATGGTGAGATGGAGATTCCTCGAGGGATCGTAAGTGGGTATGGTTCTTGGGTGAGGGATGGCATTTGGGTATTTGTAGGTGTTGGGGATAGAAAAGCTGTTTGGGTATTGGAAGAGGTTGAAGTTAGGGTTTCTGTTGGAGGGAGGACCCTGATGCCAGAGAGAATGGAGGTAGATGACTTCTTGTCTCATCGCTTCTTCATCGTAGGGATTCATTTTAGAATTTTGGTTTTGAGTTCGCAGAGTATTTTCTCTTTATTTATCTCCCGGGTTTACAGTTTGTTGCTTCTTTGCAAGCAGAGGAACGGGAAGATCCACTTCTACAGAACTCAATTCCTAAATTATTAATTAACTAATTGATTAATTAATAATTAATATCGAAATTAATTAATTAATTAGTTAGTTACAATGGGTTAATATCGAAATTAATTTTATTTATATATATAAAATATCAAATTATTCTCCCAAATTATTCATCCCATTTCCCCATTAATATTATGTTTCACTGTTTTTATCTCGACAAAATGGCGAATTGGCAATCGTGTATGAAAATGGCGGGAACACCTGATCCTTAATACCTTAACACATTAGCGGCTTCAGCCTCCCTCTTTATGCTAGTCATTTCTGCTTTCTGTCTCATCGGTGGTCACTCTATCTCTTCCCGTATATCTTCTTCCTTCTCAAAGCACTTCTCTTTCTTCTACGGCCAATTACCAAAGTACGTTCCAGGTGTCTGTCTACCAAGTGCGACTGCAACCGAGGCAATGCCGCCTTCTTCAGGTTCGCCAAAAATTGTTGTAGAATACGCGAAATCGAATCGCTCATCGTGCAAGAGTTGCTCGAAGACGATATCGGCGAAGACACTGAGGTTGGGTTTGGTGACCAGAGACCGGCGAGGGTTTGATATGACTAAGTGGCACCACTTGGAATGCTTCCCAATCGGGTCGGAGCCGATCGAATCCGTGGACGATATCAACGGGTTCTCTTTCTCTTGAGGTTTGTGCGTGGAATTGATCAATTTTTAGGGTTTTAAAGGGGTTAGGATTTTCTTCCTTCTCTCGGGTTGTTTTGTTGGTGAAGAATGTCTGTCTCTTGGGTTCATTTTGTGAGGAAGAAAAAAAAAGGGTTTTTCTTGGCTATCAAACGGCTGATGATTTTTTTTTTTTTTAAAGGATAAGACGGAAAAAATAGTGTACGTTTGAATTTCTAGTGCTTCCGTCAATCCTTTCCTCAGCATCTGATAAATTTATGTTCTTTTTTATGGTTTCAGACTGGCGACCAGGAAGCTTTGAAGAAAATGGTCGAAGCAAGTGAGAAGGATTCACTTGAGGTAGGAGTTGAATGTTTGGAATAGAATGTGACATTTTGGGAATGAAGGAAAATGGACTAGTCTAAATGCTGTTTATGTTTCCATATCATTTGGATTTTAAACCCCGAATTATTTTATATTATTAACAGTAACAATCAAATCAAATGGGGAGTGATATCATGTGAAATTAAGGGTCCAATCCTGAAGACGTGTGTTTTTCTGTCTTATAATCTTATGTTTGCCAACTCTCTGGATTTTGAATATAAGTCTTTGGCTATTTTGTCCAAATCTTTTTCCTTTGTTGCTCAGTCCCATGCACTTGTTCATGGTTGTAGAAAATGAAAAATAAAAATCTAGTATGCGACTCTGTGCTTTGTAGAGGTACTCTGCCTCATTTCTATTAAAACCCATTATACAACTAATATAATGGATATTTATCATATGGTTGTTGCAGTACTTTCTTGATTAAGTAACAGGGAAAAAGTTTCATTTTTTTTGTTATAATTACTATAAGATTGTTATAGAAACTCCCATGATTTGGAGTGCTTGGAACTAATGACGATATAGCATGCATGCAATTTTATTTTGATTGGATTATTGTTTATCTGAAGAAACAATGTCAACTAGCAAGGTTATCCTTTGGAATGAGCAGGTTCAGAAAATAGATGAAAAGAAAGAAGAAAATGAACTGGATGAAAGGAGTCCAAAGAAAGCAAAGGTAGGTTATCCTAGTTCTCATATTCCAAACTCTTTCCTATAAAGAATGTGGAAGGATAGAACATTTAGATAATTTAGATGCTGGTTAGTTTCTTTGTATGTTCACTGTTTGTTTCTTTCCATTTTTGGGTAGAACAGGTTTACTGGTTAAAAATTTAAAAGTATAGCCTGTTCTGCTTTAATAATATTTGTTTATTTTACTGTATTAGTTATAAAATAGCCTTTTCTCATTTTACGTGTCTTATATATCATGAGCAGGTCCAGAAAACAGATCAATAAAAAAAAGTAGATGAAAGTTGTTCAAAGAAAGATTTGGTGGATGGATGCTGATTCTTTCTGTAGCTATTATCCTGCTAAGTAATGTTGTAGGAGAAACTGTTGGAATCCTTTCAAGTCTGATTGGTCTCTTTAATATCTTCACCTGGTGTTGTTTTCTTTCTATCTTTGGGTTGGGAGAAATTCGTTCTTTTTCTTGTGCATTCTTTCTTGCTATGCTGTGGAGTACTGTGTATATGTATTATAAAGCTTACACAGCATTTGGGTCCACAAAGCAGATTTTCGTATGAGAGTCCTGATTTGCTTTATGGCATGTTATGCTTGTTGTGGTGGTGTATATTTTATATATCTAATTCAGATTGTTTCTGCTGGATAGTATAAAGTTATCATTTCGTGCAAAATCTGATTCTCCAATTCTCTCTAACTTGCAATTGGCGAATGTTCAAACTATACCATTTTTAGCTATCATGTCTTATTATCCATTCTTATGGAATCCTTCAAATCCTATGTCTATAAATATTTGCTTAATTGAGTGGCAAATTGTTGGTAGCTTTTCTTTCTTGTGGCTTATGGTATCTTGCTAGTCAAAAGTTTCTTCTGACAAAGATAAAGTTCTAGAATATATTATTGGTTTTGGTGTTTTGCATGTATGTTTTGTCAAGTTGATTCTTGTAACTATTTGCCAAAAAGATGTATGTCTGTTGTCTAATGCATGCAAATCTTCTAGTTGTCAACACCTTCTATGGAAGCTGAGCTCAGCCTGGCCTTTTCAGTCTCAGCTATCAAGGACAAATATAGGGTATGAATACACTGAGCATGATATGAATACATCTTTAGACTTGGTGTATTTTAAAATTTCTGTTGCCAGTTTACCTTCTCTAGGAGCTTGTATCCATTCTTACCCTCTTCTTTTCTGTTAATCTATTCAGGATGCTAAACTGATGCCAAAATGGAAGGCATTCCAGACCATCATATTTCTTGAACGTGTAAGCAACCCCACTTTTATATAAATAATGCTCAATTGCTTTTTTCACCTACTCTTAGGTCCAAGAAACATTAAATTGCCTTTCCATCCTAGTTATTGAACATCTGCTTTAGTCTAAACTAAGTCAGAGGGGTTAAACCTTTTTACAGAAGATAATATTTTCTTATGTTTTTCACAATTTTCAGGATGAGGGCCTCCATGATTCGGAAAAAATTGCTGCATTTGATTTTGATGGATGTCTTGCAAAAACATCAGTTAAAAGGTATGACTACCTAGACAGGCATTTGATCATTATTGTGTTACTAAGGTCTTAATAAAAATAGCTGTCTGATGCTTAGATGAAAATGGGATTATGTCCGAAAAAAAGAATAAAAAACAGTATACTCAACTGACAATAAGTTTACGTTTAGTCCACTATTTGTTCTTTTGCTTGTTTCTTCAGTTGACACTAGCAAATTTTACACAGTGGCAGGCAGTCAAAATTGTATATGTTGGTTTGCCTGTGTTTTTCCGGTAAATTGTTGTGTACCCTTTTATACTTTTAACTTTTTGAATCTTACATTTAGTACAATACTGGATGAAATGTAGTTATTGGTTTTCTTTCATTTGATAGTAAAAGAAATTTTTGCAACCCATATAAACAAGTGAATGTTCAAATTATACATGCTAGACTAAATGTCAGCTAGGTCTACAAGCTCTTCACTGGAAAGAGTTTGAACTTATCCAGAGATAAAAGGTCCTTAAAATGTCTTAATAATGTAGAATGGCGTTTCCACCTCTGCAAAAGCTTCTCTGCTTAGACACCTGGGTTTCATTTGTATAAGAAAATATTCTCTAATTTGATCTAAATTCACTTATTTTTACATACAACATCTATCATAGTTGCATATGGAAACAAAGTCTGGAAAATCATAATGAAATGTGATATGAGTTTGAAAAGAATAAGGTATTATTTTCATTTTTCTATAGAAAATGGTTTTTGTCCATACTCTAATGTTACGCTGATGCCACTGTGCATCTTTTTGTCTAAACATACAAATGTAGGAAATGAAACTAGAAAGTATTTTTTTTTGTACCTTCTTGTATTGGATGGTTTGTCTGATAGTTGTCATAATGTAGGGAAGTTTTAGAGATATCAAACTAATAGTAATGTAGCATCACTGAAAAGAGTTTGTGTTTTTACTTCTCTGCTTCCAGAATAGGCGCTGATGCTTGGTCCCTTATGTATCCTTCAATACCAGAGAAGCTACAGAGTTTATACAATGATGGCTACAAACTGGTGTGCATCCATTTTATTCATTTCTCATCTTATTAATTGTTCTTCACAAGGCTGCTTAGAAATGTTTTTCCATTATATATTTACTGATTCTAATGCTATGATAATTTACAGTTTCAGATGATTGAGTTGATTATCTAAATTTGATTTTTTTTTTTTGTTCTGTACAAAGGTAATCTTCACTAACGAATCCAACATCGAACGCTGGAAGAATAAGAGACAGGTAGCTGTGGATTCAAAACTTGGACGGCTCAACAGTTTCATCAAATTTGTAGAGGTCCCAATTCAGGTTGAGAGTCTCCCTTTCTTTCTCCATTCTGTTTTGCTGGTGATTAAGTATTAGAATCTCTTCCAGAATGTGAAAATAATAGAAAGTAACTTGAAGGTATGATTTGAATTTTCTTTATGCAGGTTTTTATAGCTTGTGGGGTCGGTGGCTCTGATGGTAACGCAGAAGATCCCTTCCGCAAGCCCAAGACTGGGATGTGGCAAATTATGGAGAAACATTTCAACTCCGGCATTTCAGTTGATATGGATCAGTTTGTTTCTTTTTCCTTTGTTCTAATGATCTTACTGTTGCATTTTAATCTCAGTTTTTGGGTCATTGATGTTTGCAAGAACATGCAAACAATAGACCGACTTTATATTAATCGTAACATTGCAAGTACTATCATGACTATCTGGAGCCATGTGAACTTCCCTTAGACTTAGGAACCTGACGTTGACAGAAGCTTGCTTTCTTTTCCTGTAGATCCTTTTATGTTGGTGATGCAGCAGGGAGATCCAGTGATCATAGTGATGCCGATATCAAATTTGCTCAGGTATTTTCCAAGTCACAGACCTCCAGTTATGATTATTTAATCTTGTTTGTTATGTTTTATCTTCTCTCCCCCCACCCCCCCACCCCACTTCATTCTAGTTCTTAGGACTCGTGAAGCATCTCCCTTATATTTGAACAGTTGGTTTTGCAGTTTAATCTTTGTATGATAGCATATCCATGACAACAAAGTTATGAACTCCACAACTGCTGGCCGCTGACAATACTAAACTCTTCCTTTTGCAGAAAATAGGATTGAAATTCTATGTACCAGAGGAGTATTTCAGCTCTTAAAGAACTTCTGAGTGGTGCATTACTTCGAAAGTAGTCTGTGGATTGGCCAAATGTTAAACTGAAGTGTAGAATGTTAGCATTAGAATGATCATTCACCCAAGTTAACCCTCTCTCTCTCTCTCTCTCTCTCTCTCGCACAGGCAGGCACAGCGTGAAGAGGAGGACAAATTGGAAGAAAGCTGTCAGTAGGGGAAGAGAAGGATTAGGGAATGGCGGTTTTTCCTTAATGAGTAGTAATAGCGGCTTGAGATATATTGGAACCTGGCTCTATGCATAATCAATGCTTGTAGTAAAAATAGCGGTCAGTTTATCAGCCGATGACCTGCAATGGCAGCCTTCTACTGTATTATGTAATTATTATATTATTATGCAATTTCCATAAAAAAAAAGTTATTTCATTATGCATCTCACTAAACTAATCTATCTAAACCATTAAGTTTGGTTTTGAAAAAATTCAAATCGAACTAAATCATTTTTTAAAACAAAATCTAATTATATCCAACTAAACTATTTTAGTTGAACTAAACTATTCTAGTTTTCTCATTTACAATGTTTCTCAAATACATGATCAGCTGCTTCCCTCCAACTTTTTCTTTAGTATAGGTATTAGAAGCCAATGCATAATCACTCAACAAGGCTCATCAGTTTTCCTACCAATGTCACCTTCCAAAATTGCATGCCTTGTCAAAACAATCTCCTTTACAAGGTTTCTATACGTGAATGGCCGAACAGCTGCCCGCAAGAAGAGCTCGGGTGGGATTTTACTCTTCTTGGTTCTCTTCCTCCACGGACCAATTCCGACAATCTTCCACTCCTCCGGACTCACTTTTGCTCTCGCACCTCTCATGCTTGTCTCATCTCCATCTTCTTCAATCCTTGCTGTTTGCCTCAGTTGTCTCTCGTACAACTTTGTTGATGCCTCTACACTTCTCATAGCAAGCTTCTCCATTCTCTCACCACTGCTTATTGCCTTCTCGAACTCCTCCTTCCAGTACTCTGCATCCTCCTCTGCGCCTGAATCCTCTTCTTTTGCCCCCAGTTCATCATCCCCACCTCTTTCCATGTCCACAATCACATCATCCTGTTCATCCTCGTCATCATCATTACCGTCATCCTCAAGCCACTCTATGAACCGGGTCTCACCCGGATTCTTCCTATGAACATCCTCTTCCTCATCCTCGTCCGGGGCATCACAGCCCAACTCCATCTCCTCTAATTTAGCCTTCCACTCTCTAGTATACGGATGCAGAAGCTGTTCCGGATGGTTCGTCAATAAGAACTCCAAGCATTTAGACTTCTTCTCCTCACTCAATTTCTGGTATGCATTCACCACTTCATCCACAAACGCCTTCGGATTCACCCTCACGATCTTACACAGGCCCCCGAAATACGTACACATTTCCACCCTTCCTTCATCATCCCTCACCTCGAATAAGAACTCGTTCTCCGTTTGGGGGTCAAGAAATGGAATCAACGCATTGAAGAAGTCATCTTGAGGCTCGAACCTGCACTGATACACTGGTCTTTTCACGTATATAATGTCCGGTCTCATCCACGCTGCACACTGAGTTATCAGTGACCTCGCCTTGTTGCCTAATCTTCCCATCAGATTCCACTTGTCTAGCCTCTGTTTTCCAGCTTCCAGCACCACTTCACTCACCAGTGTCCACTGCTGCCATGGCAATTCCTGTAGCCTCCACTTTGGGTGCCTCACGAACACCCAAAAGTACCTGAGCCCAACGCTCTTGTCCATTTCTTGAAGTCTCTTGCTAAAATCCGACGCCATTTCGAACTGCTCAATCTTCTCCCATTCCTCGTGATCCTTCACTTCTCCAATCAAAGTGACGCACTCATCGGAGAATCTGCCGCGGATGGGGTCTCCAACGACGACTCCGCGCCAAGAGTAAGGCCCGAACTCGCCGTACTTGTACCAGTCGTCCGGATGGCGGAGGTTGGGGTCGTCCCGCTCCATGAACCTAACCATCCGGTCGTAACCGAGTCCGATCATCTGGAGCTCCTCCTCCGAGAAGTTATCAGCATGGTTTCTGCGGCCCGGGTTCTTCAGGCGGTAGAAAAGGGACTCAGCCAGCTTCTTCGACTTGCGTCGGGCGTTCCGCTTCGCCTCCCGCCGTACTTCTGCGTTCCCCTCCAGCCGCCCCGGTGAAGGACCGTCGTGCTTTGTCTTGCTCCTGCCCGCAAACGACCGTACCTCTCGCCGGACTGGTCCATCATTTTTTATGGTAAACAGGGAATTCTGGAGGGAAAATGTGGTGTAGGTATTGATGGTGACAAGTGGTTTGAATTTAACTGTTTTGTAGAGTAGAGAAACGGGTTTATGGAAGGGTGAGGAGAAGAGAGAAACAGTGGGGTTTAGGGTTTTAGAGAAGGAGACGTCTTGGGTCAGCATCTTCATTCCAGAGAAGACGAGTGAGATCTGGATGAGGAAGATGATATAGGAGTAGGCAACGACGTCGTTTAACTTATTGGAGAGTAAATCTTTCTTAAAACGGATAGAAAGTAAAACGACCCCGTTTTTGCTGCGAAGAAGGTGGTCACAAATGTATAAAGCAGTACATTAACTCGCAATCATAAGATCTTTCCCTTCATACGTGCTACTCGGAGCCCCGACAATGGCGAGACGGGTGACGGAGCTGGGATGCATCGCTTGCGAAGAGCTTAATGAACTTGGCGCTGGCCGGAAGGAGGGATGGCTCGTGGACGACCCGACGTTACTCTGCGCACTCGATGCTCATTCCCTTGCTCTCGCCAAACGATCTGTCATTATCATTCTCAGTTGGACCGACCCGGATGTACCCCGTCTTAAGATTCGACCCGATCTATCACCGATCGAGGCGGAGTCTGTAACGGCCATAGAGTGGTTGGTTTTTGATGAGATTAGAGTTGTCGCGATAGGGACCTCTTCTGGCTATCTGTTGGTTTACTCTTTGACTGGTGATCTGATCCATAAACAGGTACAGATTAACTTCTTAATCGCATTGTTGTCGAGTTTTGTTTTGATGTTGGGGAGATATTAAAGAAGAGATTGACCAGTTACTGAGTTTGGCTTGATTTGATGGACTTTTGTTGGGTAATAATCTGGTGGCTCGATTAGATGTTAGGGAAGTGGAAGAAAATAAAATTTTGATTTCTGTTGAATTTATTTGCTGATTTTTGCTTGAATTCTCTAATAGGCAGTTTGATTGCTTAGCTAATTCTCTTTGTTAGTTCGATGCTTTTACGTGCGTGTTTGTTCGTTTTCATTTTGCGGTAAAGTTTCTTTTTTATTTAATGAAGAAATGCTGGGGAGAGGTACGAATTGCATCTGTAACAAGCTAATTCGTTTATATAAATTATTAACATTCATCATTTTATATTAAGTTGTTTGAATGTGTGTTAAGATACTGAATCTTCTTGGATTTATTTATTTTATAATCGGGATAAACACTGTTGAAATAAATAAATAGAGACACCAAAAAGATAATAAAAGTTTTACTTGGTGCTGCAGATTACTCAATTATAGCAAGGGATTTTGTGGCCATGCTCGTAGAACTAGAAGTAAATTCTCACACCAAACTTGAATAATTGTATTTGTTTTCTTTGCTTGGTAGATTTAAATGCGGTTTCAGGGGTAGGTACACTTCAAGTTTATGAATCAGAGGAATGTATAATAGTCAGTTTACTAATTAACCTCTATGATGAATTGGTAGTTGGATTCTGTTAAGTAGTTGGGTGATGGAACTAATTGACATGTGTTTGCAGTTGGTATATTCTGGACGCATCTTAAAGTTACGAGTTCGTGGAACTAAGAAAGATTTGACCCAAGATACCTCTCGGAGGAGGTTTGTGTAGTAATGTCTGGTGTTATTGCTCGTTTTGATGGCTCTGACATTCAGTATATTATTTATATACCTCTTTATTATATTTTGCTGCTTCAGTAC